TCATGAAGTGTTCATAGTTTGATAAAACAAAATCGTTCATGAATTGATGAGATATAATAAATGCGTGTTCGGTGTACTTTGTATGTACCCTCGACTACCTATGTATGATTTACCATTTTACCTATCACCTAATCAGTGTACCTATATAATCAATGTTTGTAAAGATGTACAATGCTTGTGATTATGTACTGAACAAATGTACGTTCTATATACATATTTACATACTCGGTGTGCCTATATAATGTTTTGTGAGAATGTACTTGAATAATTACAAGGGTCTATGAAATACTTGGCTCATTGGACCCGAAAATTCATGTCTGCGAGTTTAAAATTTTTGTATCTTTTATTGCGCAAAAAATCTGTATCTTTCATTGATCAAAAATTTCTTTAATAAATAAGATCCAACATAAAGGGTATAAAAACATCATGTATGGGGAAAGTTCTTTTGTTGCCTGCTGCTTTCTCCGCTTTAGCTATTATATAGTCTATGTGACCGGATCTCCTATCAAGCAAGTTTGGTAAGGGGTGAGTATAAAAACTTAGTAAGACGGTAATTTCTGTCTCATAATATATCTAACCCTAAACTACTCTTAACCACTGTAACCCCCACACGATTCCTCCAACAATCGTGCAACAATTAGTCTTCCACAACATCTAGTTAACCTTACTCCTCATCATCACTTAGCAACCAAAAGAGCCCACCAGCTACCCTCTTAGCGCTTACCACACATTAGTAACTAACCAAGCCCACCTGGATACTCTCTTATTTTTCACACCACACCCACACACAAAGTAACTAACCAAGTCCACATGACTATTATCTTACTTATCACACCATATACATAAAAAAAGTTACATCCCGTTGGCCAAAATTTTCCCATCAGGAAGAGATCTCACTAACTCCCCAAGCCCTTCCAACAGTATCTCACACCTGTTAGGTCTTCATGCCATTTTTTCAGGCCAAACACAAACATGTAGGTGATCATAAGACCATAAACATGGTCCTATGCATTATATTTAAATGTGGCATTTTTGAACCTACTAACCTAACCAATTTGTAATGCTTAACTACTCAAGACACTCCTAAAATTCACAATCATGCATACTACTTCCATATTAACCTAGTCATATAATCTACGTTCTCAAACAATAGCCAAAGCATTTTACACAATTGTTTTTCTCCGTATGGTCGGCCCCAAGTAAGCATGTTATCTCAATAGGTTACCCATGACAACATCTATGTCCATACAATGACCGTCCCACCATAGAAAAATATTCGTTATGGTGGAAAGAATCATGAATTAACTAGGCCTTAAAATAGTCCAACCTTCACATGTTCTTCCTCTAACCCCGAGGCTATATGACTCCTATGTATGAGTTTGTCAATCCATTTTGACTCTTTTCATACTAACCCTCACTTGTATATATTTTTCGGGTTTCCTTAGAAATGGTTGAGTAACAATCACAATTACCCGAGTCATATCTTGTCTAGTTCACGGACAATCCCTAATAGACAGTTGTATCTAAACAATCAAGTGAACCATCGAGTGAAAGAT